GACAGGGCACCCCAAAATTAGGTGCCTCGTAAAACACGGCCTTTTTTTTTTTAAAGTACTGGTACGATCACTATTTGCGATGGAACGAATCTGAAAATCCCGGCGTGAAGACGCTACGTTTCTCGGCCGACCAGGTGTGGAAACCGGACATCCTTCTGTACAACAGGTAAGGCAGGGCTCTTCAAATTTGGGGTGGGGGGCGGAGGACTTGTGGGGCCCCTGGAGTTAATACAAAACCGGTTATGACAGATCTTGCATAAGGGAGAAGTCGGTGGCAGTTGTGAAAACCTCCCGACGGGCTTTAAACAGACCTGTGGACTTCAACTCCCAGAATTCCCCAGCCCACCACAAGGGAATTCTGGGAGTTGAAGTCCACAAGTCTTAAAGGAGCCATGTTGGAGACCCCTGGCCTAGACAGTTATTGGGGGGAGGGTCTTTTTTTTTTGCTTTCAGGAAGGGGTGGGGAGTGTAAATGTTTTGAAATTCCTGACCCCCTTCCCCAATTTTTCCTCTCAGTGCCAACGAGGAATTCGACTCCACCCTCCACACCCACGTCTTGGTGAACTCCAGTGGTTACTGCCAGTGGTTGCCCCCAGGTGAGACGGGGGTGGTGGTAGAAAAATTAGATCTGTTTTTCTTTTAAAAATAAAATTAAAAATAAAACCGTCCCCTCCTTTCCTGCAGGGATCTTGAAAAGCACCTGTCGTATCGACGTCCGCTGGTTCCCCTTCGACACCCAAAAATGCAACCTCAAGTTCGGGTCCTGGACTCACGACGGCTGGTTGCTCGACCTCCGTATGCTGGAAAGCGACACCTCGGGCTACGTCTCCAACGGGGAGTGGGAGCTTGTGGGTAAGAGTTAGGTCCCCCCCCCCCCGTCCCCACTGCGGAAGCCCCTCTGGTTTTACAAGGGTCCCCGGCACCCCCTAGAAGTTTATCTATCATCTCTCTCTCTCTCTCTCTCTCTCCCCTATCCATCCATATCTATCTATCTATCTATCTATCTATCTATCTATCTATCTATCTATCTATCTATCTATCTATCTATCTATCTATCTATCTA